TTTTCTTTTTTTTGAGGTGGATGCGGTGAAAGAAGTGCGGTTCATCTTTTTGGAGTGGACTATTATTTTGGATTATTATTTTGGATTGCAATTTTTGTAGTGGACATTGACTATATATTTTTTGGGATGATTATGACTTTGGGGGATTTTTGATTATTTGGGATGATAGGTTTATTTACACTTATTATTAATATATGATAGTTCTTATTTTAGTTTTTGTACTGTCCATCTCTTTCTCTTATGTTTTTGTTCCTCTGATCTTTTAGAATGAGTCTTGCTGAAAGAAATATCAAATGTGGCACAAGTCATTTTTATGGTTGCTGTAGAGAGCACAAATATGGAAGCATTGATTTATAAAGGGACTGTAATAGCAATGATGTCTAACAGTCTCAGACTATGATTGTATCCTGAAACACGTGTGTGTGCAGTCTTTAGTTAGATCCATACTATTTGTGCAGTCCACAGTATGACCATCTCTTGTAGCATGCCAATAGTATTTGACCTTCTCTTGTATGCCTGCAGCCTCTGGTAGCTTTTTGTAGCAACACATTCACTGAATATTGTGTTCAACTCTTTGGTGATATAAGGGCTGGCAACTGAGGCCTTCTATATCAAGAACGTTTATTGCCTCTGCATTATGCCTTCATATCATATTATATCTAGACTGGTTGAAACATATACCTTCCATCTCTCTTCAGGTAGTACACAGAGGAGAATACAGGAGAATAAATCTCATCTCAAATCTTTACAATATTAAATGTGCAGAAAAATGTATCCAGAGAACTGTACAAAACTAGTTAACTTTTTGCCAGCTGTTCTCAGATGTTTGACCAAGATTGTCTCACCAATTATGATGTTAACCTATAACAGACCGCTTTTCAGTTAGGTCTTGTTGAACACAACAAAATGCTAATGAATGCTTAAGGCAGATAGCAAACCTGGGAAGAGATGATAGATATGACAACAAGAGTTAAAGACACAACTCGGGCACGTGTTAGCTGCCAAATTGATCAACTCCTTGTTTGTTTGTTTTTTTCAGTTAATTTACAGATGTGCACATCTTCTATTAAGGTATTGGTAAATACAGTATACCAGTGAATATTACTCATCGACAGGGGCGGACTGACCATTTGGAAACTCGGGCACTGCCCGAGGACCCGGGGTCAGTAGGGGGACCCATGAGATGCCCCTGGTACCTTTTTCATAGGCTTTTTTGAGTTTGGACAAGGAGACAGGGGCCCCATGATCCGCTATTGCCCGGGGGCCCCATGAGTTGTCAGTCCGCCCTGCTCATACATGTACTTGCCAGTTAAGTCTGCGAAGAGACAAACACTATAGTGAAAGTATTATACTATATTTCTTCTGGTGACATGAAGGTTATGTAAAAAAAAAAATCAAAACAATAAAATAAAATATTAAAGCAGAAGTAAACTCTAGTTTACAAAAGAACACTTTGTATAGCATTGGAAGTAAGTATGATTGCATTGTTATTGTTTTTGTATTTTCTACAAAAATATAACTTTCCCTTTTATTCACGCTTTCTCTCCTGGAGCTTTAAAAATCTTGTAGAGTCTTTGTATGAACACCAGAAGCTGTACATTACACTTTTACTACATCAAATTATACCAGAACCTTGTGCATTAGCACAGCTACCTATAGGCCAAACCAGAAACCAGAAGAAAGAAGGGTTGACAATCTAGTTGAAATGGGTAAGCATTGTCACCCAAGGACAAGAATGGTATGTGAATATACTTTGCAGATATGATTTAATTGGATGCAGAATATATAAAAAAAAATATCTAGACATTACAACACTAAACTAGACTATGTGTAACAACATATTTAGTTTTAGTGTTTGGATACAGATACACTTTAACCATTATTAGTTATTTTTTCATTTTGTGCTTCCTTTAGAAGATGAATAGAATGTTCCCTAGAACGCTTTTGTTGGCATTAAGACCATATTGTTTTCTGTTGTCAGGTCTGTAGAATGAACTGCCTGTATTTCCCATCAGCAGGAAGGATAATGTCATTATGAAGTGATAGTTAATGTTTATGAACTCACAAAGTATTTTAATGTTAGCTGAAAGCTGGCATATAGTGCTATTATTCTTTGTCTGACTGTTCCATAATGCATTGTTTTGCATAGACTTTGCCTTCCAAATTGATGGAAAATGCAAGCTTTTTCACCCAGAATGGCCAAGTATTCAACTTGATCATAATCTAGGTTTAGAACTTCTGGCAGTGGGAAAATAACAAAATTGATGGAATATAAACGACCTGTTCGTTATTTAAGGTTTACATTATCAACAGTCCGGAAATTTTATTGAAAGTTACATGAAGATTATTCATTTCATATTGCATGTGCAGCCCAGTGTACCATCTCAGCACACCTTTTCACCCCTCTGGCCAGGTGCACATCCAGAACCGCTGGTGTATAATACAAATACGGCCTAATATTATAAAGCCATTTATTCCAGACTGTATGCAGCTGTTGCAGGTTATTTGGTGAGGGTGCACTGATGTTGGCTAAATATCGTGAAACAACTTTACACAGTTTGGAAGTGATATCGCTATAGTTTTGAGGTATACTTGTACTATACACCAATGACTCTGGATGTTGCATCTGGCCAGATAGAGGAAAGGCATGAGTAGCTCTGCCCAGTGTCTTAACATGAGGATTAATATATTTTTTTGGAATACAGTATGCAATTGAGTAGGTCATGTAAATAACTTTTTAATATATATAAATGTTTTAATAAGACCTTACTGTGTTGGACCAAGGAGAAAAATAGGGAATGGAGAAAAAGGTGTAAAATGTATTCACAATTGTAAAACTGAAACAACAGAAATGGAGATTTTAAAAAACAATTCCATAACTGTGTAACAGAGAATGGCAGCTGTACATGAATTGTGATCCGCAGAGTTTGCTGCACCTTTCCTATGTGTCGTGTCAGTGTTAGTCATTATCTGGTTATGACATTTATTGATAATGTTGAAACTGGCCATTATAGCTCACCAGGATTTACCATCCCAGTTCATGACTGCTAAAAAAGTAAACAGTTTTGAAGAAGATAGAGATATAGTTGTGTAGAGTAACTACTTTTAAGGAAATGTTTCTTTCTTAAGCTGGCCATAGACGGTTTGAATCTCGACTGGTTCAGTAGGGAACGGCCAAGATTCGAACCATGCATGGGCAGAATGAATGTACCCAAGTTGATCAATTGGTTGATCAACTTGGGTACAACCAGCCTGTTGGATTTTATTGCTAGTGGCTAATATAGCCTTTAGCAGTAATCACTGTGTTCTCCTGGTGGAGATGGCTCCCCTCGCTCCCTGCCATGAGAACACAATGACTCCACAGGAGGGATCCCCCCATCAACACAGTCATTGTTGATGAGGGAATCAAGGGATTTGCAGGAAAGAAAATTGCACCATATATGGCCAGCTTTAGTCTACTTTGAGGAACATTAAAGTTCATGCAAACGCACTCTACAATACCCATCCTTTCTCTGATTAGTAGGACCAATTTGGTTAAAATGTTTTTTTATGCCTCAGTTGCTTTATTTTCTCCACAATACCCCAGTAGTTGTACCACTAAAATATTCTGCATAGTGAACTTAATTTTTAGATTATTATGCAGGAACTATTTACTGAGGATTTGGCTTGAACATTTGCAATTCCCAAAGGATAGAGGACATGTTGCATATGGAATTACCCATCTGTGTCATTTTTTTAGGGGGGGTAGTTTGGTCTCTTTTTCTGTAATGCAACCCCAATTTGGTCTTCCAAACCATATGTACTTTTACTACCTGCAACTCCAGCATGTATTAATAGCCCAAAAGTTCTCTACCAACTATCAGACTTCTCCTACCCCATATCGTAACCTTATGCAGCATACCACTACTACAAAAGGGTTTATCTTGCGCTGTTATACTATGCTTCTTATTACATATTTGGAGAGTTACCCATGCAGGGCAATGGAAGGTTGATAATCTGATGTAGGTACGATGGTCGAGGACCAGTCGAAAGGAGCTTTATTCAGTTCTTAAATGTGTTACAAAGACTTTCTCAATTGTATATCTTGTTACATGTTCACTACACCCCTCTTAAACTTAATAAAATGAGCTTGCAGCAGGTCTCAATTTGTAGTAAATGTTGTAGGAATCATGGGGATTTGATACATATGCTTTGGCTTTGCACCAAGCTTCATAGATACTGGGACATAATTATAAGTACCAATAATAGAACTTTTCACACCAATGTTAAATTAGACCCCAAGCAATGTTTTGTAAGCATCTCAGATAAAGTGGTGACACAGACAAATACTAGGGAGGTGGTGTCCAGGGCCCTGTTTCAAGCTCTGAATCTTATTCTGTTACACAGGAAGTCTAAGACTCCCCAAGAATGGATTAGTCATATAGGCATTAATTTATGCTATGAGTAACTTATCTATCAGCATCTGGGTTGCCCTGCCAAATTTGAAAAAATGTGGAATGGCTGGCTGAATACTCTGGGTCCTTCACCTATCAATCTGGTGTTGCATAGAATGATAATATAATGCAAGCAGTGTCTTCCTTCCTATGTTTTATTCGCTTGATATTATATTCTTTGAACAAACCATAGTGGCTGTGCTGCTGTACCAGTATAACGCTATCTTGGAATGTATGTTTGGACCCAATTTCAATATTGATTATATGTATCTTTTTGAACTTGTAACTGATGTTGGAATGTGCTACTGACTGTAGTCAAGTGTCTTCTCTGGAACCTGTTTATTTTTTTTTTCCAATAAACTCTCTAATTAAAAAAAAAAAAGAATAACCATCCAATCATGTACCTGGTTATAGGCAGAAGTGAAGAGAGGCCTTCCCTTACAGCTCTGGTCCAAACACCCAGGAAATGGTGACAGGAAAAGAAAAGGGCAAAAAGTGGCATGGGTGCCAAGGGTCCAGTCTGGGCAGGGGTACTCTTGTAGACTGCTGAGAGCAGCACTGAAGAACTGGGAAAAGATACCACAGAGGAACAAACTGGAACAAAAGCTGACAAAGGTACCAGAACCCATGACAGGCTGAAAGCAGAGTCTAAGGCAGCCAGTGAATGACAACTCGGGAGGGCAGGTATTAAGTAGGATGGAAGGAAGAGGCATGGCCAGGAGGCAGGCTGAAGTAAGCTATGGATACACAGCATGATCATGGTCAGGAAAAAAAGGCAAGGGCAGAGACGAGCAGTCAGTAGGATTGTGGTCAGGAGCAAGAAAGCTGAGATCAACAACAGGTAATCACCACGCTCGTGATCAGGAAGAAAGCCAAGGTCAGCAATGAACAGACAGATAATCCAAGGGCAGATTCAAGCCAGGAGACAACAGGAGATCAGAGAAGAGAAGAATGAAGTGACAACCCAGGTCAACAATGGAAAATCAGGAATAAGCACAGATTCAGAACTCAGGGAACACAGAAGACCATCCATCAACGTCCTGTTTCAGCACTCTTCATTGAAAAGGCTGTCTGGCACCAAGTCATGCAGGTATGCATGCCTTTGTGCTCGCATGTGCCGAAGTTCATGCAACATGTCACGTGCTTTCTTGTGCAAACAAGTGTGCCCAGGTAACCTGCTGGCAAAGATCCTTTTTCTGCATATTGGCACACATGCACACCTGAATAACTCACTGACCCAGAAGACTGAATTCAGTGATCCCATGGTTTGTGAAAGGTATCAGTAACTCAGAAAGCAGCAAAGCCAATGGATGAGAATAACAGCCAGACAACTGGAATTTTCAAAGTCAGCAATGCAGCATCCATATTGATCTTAGTAAATGTTTAGTAATACTATGAAGCTTAAGAACAACCTTTATTTCTGAATATGAATTTGCTGACTTCAACCATAAGATCTAAACAGTTTAGATATCACATTAATGGGTTGCCATCTTTCAGATCCAAAACAAAATGCCAATGGTTTTTTCATCGTAATATTTTTATAGCAACAGTTAATTTCAAATAGTGTACACTCCCTTTACCCACCCCATAATGCGTAGAATACCTGTTTGTAAAAAATAAATATTTGCTATCACAGTTTCATAGGACATGATATCTTGTACCACCACACCTTTCATGTTAACTCATTGAGCTAGAGGATTACAAAAGAGACACGTGTTCAGTAATTAAAAGGTACAAAGCAAAACTACATTTTTGCTAGGTAATATTGGATCTCCACAAAGGTAATGACAAATAATATACATACACAAGTTGACATTCAGCTACAATTTACTTGGATAATGAAGAATTATTTATAGACCTCTGTGTAAGGGAGTAATTCCCCTAACTCCCAAGTAAGAAGGTAACAGCCATAGATACAGTGGAGTAAACAAATGTAGCCACCATAGAATAGGAAATGTGTTATTTGCAGGTTTGCCAGGTAAATATAAAAGAAAAAAAAGCCTGAAAAAAATGCACCCCTAAAGATTGGTATGCAGCAATATATTACATTATTGTTTCGGGGTTCAGACTAACATTAACACATGTTAAACAGGAAAGCAGGATATGTTTGTAAATTTGCAGATATAATTAAAAGCATTTGTTAGGGGATTATCATCAAGCCAGAATAAGTAACTCTTATCCTCCATGATAGGGTATATCATCAGCCATTGTATTTTCACATTCACATTACGTAGGGACCTGGTAACTCATTTGACTTTGGACTTTCTAAAGGCAAATAGACTGTTCACTTTGCAAGGGAAGTTGCACTTTGCAAGAAAATTTTCCCCAGAGCTTAGTAAATGAGGTGCAGCTCTGTATATATCATCATCCAATCATCCAATTATGTGCAAGCAAAAATGCTGTTCTGTATTTTTCTTGCAAGTGATTGTTTCTTCTTTGCAAATTGAACTTAAATTACATTCAATAAGCTCTGGGAAAAATGTATTTGCAAGTTCCACTGTAAATGAACGGTTTACTTGCCTTTAGTAAATCAACCCCATTAAGTAGATACGTATGATGTCATACATAAACTACATTCAAATTTAGAATAACATTGAGATTTACTTTTATTCTTTGAATGTCACTCACAATAGCTGTATCAAAAGAGGCCAAATGAAGCAAAACATAGTAATTCTTAGGAGAAATGTGGATCACATTCCATCCTAAAGAGCTGTTTTACTATGAGCATCACTTTTTAAAATACTGTATTTATTAAATAAATTCTAAATTTATATAAGTTTTAATGTCTTTGCTGACCATTAATGTAGAACACACACTGAAATTCAACATATTCAATAAGTAAAACTATACCATGAAACTCCCTTTGTCTCATCAAGGAGGTAATTACCTATGTAACATACAGCCATATAAACGTATTTTGTAACGCAATACAGGTACTTATTTATTGTTCTAACCTCGGAGTGTTGCCTTATGGAGAAAATGTTCTGTATTCCTCCATAGTGGATTGTCTGTTTATCTACTGCAGGTATGTGACTTTTGTAAGACTTTGTTTACTTCAGCATGTGGATGACTCGTATTTCAGCATTTTTAGGAAACATTTCTCAACCTGGCAAGTACAAAAAACATACTAATTTCAACTGTGCATAACTGAGGAGTAAAATAATCTTACCACTAGGGAGAGCTATGCTCATAATAATGATCACAGTTTGATTCAGACACAATTTCAGTGTTATCTTATCAATACAAAAGGATGAACTGCATATTATTGTTGCTTTTGGTAGTAATAATAATAATAATATAATCATGTCACATATCTCATCCCTGTGACTTGTTGAATGTCAATAAAATGTAAATAAAGTACCTTCCTAATATGAGGTTAAAACTGTACACATTTTTAAACTTTTTCCTTAAGCAGTGTAAAATTAACAAAAGTGCTGGAACAATATGAAGAGTCACAGGCTTCTGTATACCCAGATGTAATAAATATTTTCACAGCTCTCCATTGATAAATGGAGTGATGGAGAAAGAAGGAAAATGTGAGTATGCCGTGGGACTAGGAATTAAAGTGGTTTTAAAGAGTCAAGGCTTTTTACCTTTATGCATTCTATGCATGAAGGTAAAAAAAACCCTTCTGTGTGCAGCAGCATCCCATAATACTCACCTGGGCCCCATCTCGATCCAGCGATGTGCATGAGAGCCTCATCTCTCCCTCCTCATTGGCTGAGACAATCACGGTAGCCATTGGCTCTCGCTACTGTCAATCACAGCAGGTGAGCCAATGAGGAGAGAGAGAAGGGTGGGGTCGAGCCATGCTCTGTGTGTGAATGGACATACAGAGCAGCAGCTTGAGAGTGAGCCTGCTTGGGTATCCCCAGAGAAAGCTGCTTGCTATGGGTGCACTAGGCAGGAGGGAGGGGTCTGGAGCACTGATGGGAGACCCGAGAAGAGGAGGATCCACTACACAGAGCAGGTAAGTATAACATGTTTGTTATGTAAATAAAAACTTTAATGTCACTTTAAAGCAAACCAGTTGCTTTATCCTGCTTGGATAATTCACGATTGCTTTAAGGTGTTACTAATCCCACCACAGAAAAATCAGTCTGTATATGCAGTAAAGCATGGTTGTTATACTACCTGTGGATCCTAAGGGGTTAATCCTTTGCATTGTGTAAAAAGGCTGTTTGATCCTTTCTTATCTGCCCCTCCTCTTGTTGAAATGACCACCTGATGCAGACTGAATCTGTAGTAACATGCACATGCTCAGTTTGGTGTGTATTGCTAGAGAGGGTTTTTTTTTCCTTGGGAGAGTGCATGTGATCAGCACAGGGCCAATCAGCGCTGTCCAGACAGAGGGCCAGGGGTTTCACATCCTCCTACAGCAGAAAGAAAACTTTCAGTCTGATCAGTGCTGTCTGTGTTGAAATTTACATGAAGCTGATATAAAGATGTTTGCAGGTACTTATACCAGTTTTCTTAAAAATTAATTGAACACCGGGATTAACTGTACTGTTATAGCTACCTGGAGTTCAGTTTGGGATTATAGTTTAGCTATTTTTTTTCACAGGCATAATCTCACATAGGATATAGATAAATACACTTGGAACTGGAATAATACCGATTTGATACAGATAAGAAATTTGATAGCGCGTCATAATATACAACATGTTCAACACATATTAGCAGGTTCAAGAATGGAAATTTGTAACCCTTGAAACTTGTTTTAATGCTGACTTGAGCTGAGTGTGTATGCTCTTTAATGATCACAAGGCCTCATGCACACTGGACATTTTTTTAGCTGCTCCTAGGAGTGTCTGGTGGGTTTTTTTCTGCCTCTAAACCCCTCTGCATTTTAGCCTATGTGTCCATGCACAGATAGGCTTTTAGTGGAGTTTAGAGGCATAAAAAAATAAAACCCACTGCCAGTGTGTCCAGGAGCAGCAGTGATGCACAACTTTACAAGCATCAAGCGTTTTTTTTCTGCCAAATCGCTGCTACCAGGAGGAAAGGCTTCTAGGAGAGTTGGCAAAACGTCCAGCGTGAATGAGGCCTAATGGTAAACAGGGGCTATCCTAAAGGTGAAGAGAAAATCAGAGCTGAGCGGACTTGCCAACCCCCCCTCTTAATTGTTGACATTATGAATTATAAAGGTGTGATTAACGTATGATAGAATCTGCTCGCCCATGGAATCTGTATAGCTTAGTAAGTAAGTAAATAAATGAGTTAGCAACCCTGGAGCAGAGAAGAGTAATGGTTATCTATTTCAGTTTCTTCTGTACTCATCTGCCTATAATCCTTTAGAAGTTATACTGTATATGTTTGAAGTCCTGTATGGTAGAGTATAATAAAACCAAGTTTGGTATAATGATTCTTATAGCATCTCTCTAAAGATAGTTTCTCTTTTTTCTCCAACTTTCATTTACACTTTACACTTGTCTCTTGGGTACATTTAAAGCGAGCTCCAACCAAAAGGGGAAGTTCCACTTTAAGGACTGCTCCCCATTAAGGATTGGCACCAGGGGCGGACTGACCATTTGGAAACTCGGGCACTGCCCGAGGGTCCGTGGTCAGTAGGGGGCCCCATGAGATGCCCCTGGTACCTTTTTCATAGGGTTTTT